AGCGCCTCCCAAGGAACCTCCCCAGGGGCCCCCCAAAGAGCCTCTTGAGGGGCCCTCCAAGGGGGCCCCCAAAGGCCCCCCCAAGGGACCTCCCCCAGGGCCCCCCAAGGAGCCTCCCCAAGGGCCCCCGAAGGGTCCCGCACAAGAGACCCCCATTGTGGCTCCCCAGGGGCCCCCCAAAGGCCCGCCAAAAGGGCCCCCCAAGGGGCCCCCCCCCGGGCCCCCCAAGGGACCTCCCGAAGCTCCCCCAAAGGAGCCTCCCGGAGGGCCCCCAAAGGGCCCCCCAAAAGGGGCCCCCAAGGAACCTCCCCAAGGGCCCCCCAAGGGGCCCCCACAGGGGCCCCCCAAAGGGCCCCCCAAGGGGCCCCCTCCGAAGAAGGCGCCATCAACAGAACGGGGGGCCCCCCAAGCACCCGTGTCGGCGAGCCCCATACAGGCACCTGATCTGCCTCGAGCACAAGGGGGGCCCCCACCCAAGGGGCCCCCAGCAGAGGGGCCCCCTTCCCCCCAGCAGCTGAAGAAGATAGGTTCTGTGCATGACTGCTCTGAGGTCCCTGTACCCTTGGCAAAGGGGGGGCCCCCTAAGGGGCCCCCACCACCTGCTGTGCCTGCAAGGCCTCACATCCCTCGTTTGCCTCTAAGCACAGCCCTCAACTAAACTCAGCGCCGTATCCAGGGGGCCCCTGTTTGGGGGCCCCCCAGGGGCCCCCCACCGTTACAGGGGTCCCCAATGTCATAGGGGCCCCCCAGGGTCTCAGCCGTTGCTGTGGAACGCCCTTGAGGGGCCCCATCGTAGCCAGATGCAAAGGGGGCCCCTTGGGGGCCCCCCTTCAAGGGGGCCCCCCTGTACAGTTTTTGTGGGCAGTACCCTGGTGGCCGTGTTGTGTGGAGTTCAGCTCCTACGTGCACGACAGGAGGGCCCCAGAAGTGAAGGGTTTAGGGTTTAGGGTTTAGGGTTTAGGGTTTAAGGGGTAATGTGTTTGATAAGGGGAGACTTCTACCTCTATCTTAAATTCTGTTTTTGTAAGACTCAGTTTAAGGGTTTAGGGTTTACAGTTTAAGGGTTTAGGGTTTACAGTTTTAGGGTTTAGGGTTTGGGGGCCCCTCCTTGAGAGGGGGGCCCCCAAGGAACCCAACAAAAGCAACGAAGGGCCTCACCCCCAGACTTAGTGCTGAGGGTACAGGAGACCAGCAACACCCTGGGGGGCCCTTGGGGGCCCCCCTTTCCCTCGGGGCCCCCTGAGCTACCTTACAACAGGCGGTCCCCCCTCACTGACAAGAGCGGGGGGCCCCTCCTCTTCAGCTGTCAGTACAGCAGGGGGGCCCCTACCTGCAAGCAAGGGTACTGTAGAGACATACGGGGCCCCCTACGATGGGCCCCACAGGGGGGCCCCCCTTAGGGGGGCCTTATCAGGGGGGCCCCATGAGGGGCCCTTCTTCTGGGGGCCCTGCAGCAAAGAAGGGGCCCCCTGGGGTGTACAGACAGTAGCAGCAAGGTAGCGGTATATCATCAACAAAAGGAGACAGAGGAGACACTCAGATCTGTCTCTCTATCACACACAAGAATATGCAGCTGTTGCTGCTGCTGCTGCTGTTGCTGCTGCTGCTGCTGCTGCTGCTGTTACAAGTTCACACCCGAGGTGTCTTGCTGCTCTGTGTCAACTCAGCAAAACATGAAAACCTGCTGGCGCTGCAGTTGCACCTGCTGCTGCTGCTGCTGCTGCAGTTGTTGCTGCTGCTGCTGCAGTCGGCAGCAGCGGGCCTGAGGAGACAGTCTCTGCCTCGCCCTGTCTCTTTAGTACCCTTACAAACTTCTTTTAAGACCCTTCAGGGGCCCCCAGGGGCCCCCAGGGGCCCCCAATGACCCCTTCAGGTTCCCCTCCCACCCCTTAAGTACCCTATCGGGGGGCCCCTGGGGGCCCCCAAGGAAACCCTAGGGGGCCCCTGAGGAGCCATAGAAAGAACCTAGAGTGGCATTGGGGGCCCCCTAAGGAGACTCAACTCCAGGGGGCCCCCAAACGGCCCTTAGGAAGGCGTAGGGGGGGGCCCCAAGGGGCCCCTAGGGGGCCCTGGGGGCCCCTCGGGGGGCCCCTCGGGGGCCCCCTATTCTGTCTCTAGCTGAGGCAGTGTAGGAATTGACGTTTTGGTAGGGGGGCCGGTGTATCCTTTGTCTCCTCTGTGTCTCGATTCCGTTTGCTGCTGCTGCTGCTGCTGCTGCTGCTGCTGCTGGTGCTGCTGCAGATCCTTCCTGTGTGCTGCTGCTGCAGGGGCCCCTGAGAGCAAGTGAAAAGGGTTTGGGGGGGCCCCCAGAGAGGGTACAGTGTCTCCTTGGGTGTCTCCGTTGCATGCAGCAGCAGACTGGCGAAGGCCTCAAAGGAAGGCTGAATGTGCTGCTGCTGCAGTTTCTGCTGCAGCACAGCAGCAGCAGCAGCAGCAGCAGGTTTAATAGCTTCTATCAGTATACCGATAAGGGCCCCCGAATCAAGGGGCCTCGGGGGCCCCCCCTCATACAGCGCATACACCCCATGGGCCCTGCGGTGCAGCAGCTGCAGCAGCAGCAGCAAACCCACTGCCTCTCTCGGGTTCAGGTTGCTGCCGCGCATATCTGCTGCTGCAGCAGCAACATGTGCTGCATCTTGATTGGGGGGCCCCCGCCTCAGTATAAGGGCCCTTGCTTCCTTATAAGACAAAAAACCAAACCCACAGGGGGCCCCCAGAGCCCGTAGGGGCCCCTTGGGGGCCCCCTCCTGGGGGCCCCCTCCCTGGGGGGCCCCCTCCTGGGGGGCCCCTTCCTGGGGGGCCCCCCCCTGGGGGGCCCCTTCCTGGGGGGCCCCCTCCTGGGGGGCCCCCAAGAAATGCTGCAGCCGCTGCTGCACCTGCTGAGGAGATAAGAAGGAACGGCAGCAATGTAACTCGAAACATAAAAACCAGAGGTCCGCTAGGGGGCCCCCAAATGTAGATAGGGGCCCCGGGGTTGAGGGTAGCAGCGAGAGTG